TGGGGTGCAGGTATGGAAGGAGGCGGGCAGCCGGGGGCTCTGCCGGGTCGGTTGAGGGTGGGTGGAATGGGCCATCGGGCCTTCTGGATGCATAGGCCTTTTCCTTGGCTTACTCTGAGCTGCAGGTAGCCCCTGGGCCTGGTCATGGACAGGGCTGCTCCAAGCAGCCCCAGTCCACACCCTGGTCTCTCCCTGGCACCATCATCCCTACTGGCGAGTGGAGAGTGGTTCCCAGAATTTGCCACCTTGATGCCGCTGACTCTTGAGTCTCTCATCTTGTTCTGGCAGATTGTCTTCGCAGCATCTGCCAGTTGGCTGGGGGTGAGGGAGGTGGGGGCCAACATTGCTGGCCTTTCTCCCTGGGAAGGGCTTGCGTCCCTGTCTAGCCCCCGCCCTGACTCCCCAACTTTGCCACCAGGTGGAGACTATCTCTGACTCGGACACGGAGAACAGGAGTCGAAGAGAGTTCCACTCCATAGGCGTCCAGGTGGAAGACGACAAGAGGTAGGTCTGAGTGGGGCCATCCTAAGCCTCCTTGGGGGAGAAGAGGAGAGAAGGCTGCATATCCACTTCATTGGCCTAGTCTCCCTGGGCACCCTCTCTTCCTGGCTGAGACCAAGCCCTTTTAATGGGGAGGAGTCAGAGCAGCCACCGAGGTTATCCACAGAGAACAGGCAGCCATCAAATCCAAAGTGAGTTCTCCTTGTACCCATGCCTGTCCCCGGTGGCCGGAGGTGGACAGGAGCAATACAGAGGTTGAGGGCAGGGAGTGGTGGGGAGAGGTAACAGGTAGGTACCGAGCGGGTCTCCAACAATTGTCCTTTACAGGGGATAACAGGATTTTGCCAATCCCTTGTTAACTTCCTGTGGTGTACAAGTATACGAGCTCAAAGAAAAACAAATAAATCTGAAGATTGCCTCTCAGGGGCCCCTGGCACATATAGCACTCCTCTTCACTTGGCTCACACAGCATTTAACCGGTTGGGGGTACCTATTATATGCCTGAGTCATTGGTGTACCCGAGATGGTGGCATTACCAACAGCCAGCATTCTGGCATGAGGTGGCCTCAGAAACATTGCTTCCGTAATTTCTCATGGGAAAATTAGCATTGTGAGCTCTGGGGGGAATACGGGAGAAGTCCCTCTGTTGAGTTCCTGTGGGAAGGTGCTTTCTTTGATGACCAAGTGGCAGTGTCCATGTGGCCCATCTGCCCTCTGGGCTACAATGCCACCAAGGTGGTGGCCCTAAGTATGGTTTCTGCCTGAGGCTGGCTGTTAAGAGTTACATGGTAATCCGTGTTGTCCAAGCCATACCCACTGGAGGAATAAAACTAGAGTCCCAGTAGCAGTCCCTTGCAGCGCTGTTCCAGTTGCCATTGTTGGGCCTCCCCTAAAGTTCCCCAACTATTCTGGGAACTCCTGGAGTGTCTTGTGTGTGTGCCTGATCAAATGTTTTTCTCTACTCTTACTCTAGCTCCCCCTGCAGCTCTGCATGCTGCTGAGACTGTAAATGCCCCCATCAAGGATGGCAAAAATTCGCTTTTGTTGCCCCCATCACTCCTGAAAGCTGTTATCCTCTAAACCAGTGGTTCTCAACCTTCTGGCCCTTTAAATACAGTTCCTCATGTTGTGACCCAACCATAAAATTATTTTCGTTGCTACTTCATAACTGTAATGTTGCTACTGTTATGTATTGTAATGTAAATATCTGATATGCAGGATGGTCTTAGGCGACCCCTGTGAAAGGGTCATTCGACCGCCAACGGGGTCGCGAATCACAGGTTGAGAACCGCTACTCTAAACCCTTATTATTTCACAGAGATCACAGAAAAGTAGCACTTTATGGCCAACTTTATGGTCTATGACGAGTTTCTTGAGAGGTGTGTTAGGAGGTATGGATAGCTACAGCTCTGTGTTCAGAACCCTTGCCCTCCTCTAATGCTGCCCCATGGATCATAAACTAAGCCCGTGTGCTCCTCACTCACTCCCAATGAGGAGGCTTCTTGGTCCCTCACACAGATACATCTCTGGGGTCCTCCTATTCCTCCTAACAAGCCTGAATCCTAGGAAGAGTGCAGGAGGCATTCTACTGAGACTCTGGCTAAACCAGCAAATTCTGTCATTCATTCATTGAGTCATTCATTCAGAAAATACTTGTTAAATATATGACAGCTCCTGTTAAATGCTCAAGGAAATATCAAAGGCCTGACTCTTGCCCTCATAGAAGTTATGGTCTAGAGAGGAATCAAGGCAATGAATAAATCATCCCTGAATAAAAATATGATTACTCATTGCAGTATAACATATAATGGGGTATTATTTCACATTATGGTGGGAGTATAAAAGAAAAAAGCAGGAGCTGAGAGAGAAAGGACCTTATTGAAGTTAAGCAGGAGACATTTAAGCTGAGACTTGTGGATTGACTAGAAACACTCAGGTGATGAGGGGTGCGGGCGGTGCGGATCTTTCCTGGAAGACGGAATAGCATATGTGAAGGTGCTGGGGTTGGAAAGAGTTTGACCTGCATCAGGAACTAAAAGAAGGTTTATGTGGCCGGTGTGGAATGGGGCAGTGGCAGGGGCCAGGTCATGCCTAGCATGGCCATGATAAAGAAGTAGAATTTAATGATAACTAATGAGTAGCTATTAAGAGGTTAAAGGAGTGTGACATGATCTAATTTATGTTTATAAAAGATCACTAGCTGCTGAGTGGAGAATGAATTTGAGGGAAGTAATAGTGGATATGGGGGAGAAAGGTGATGGTCTTTTGCATTATGGGAGATCTTGTGTTGGGGATCTTTTTTCTATTGTGCTTTATAATTGGGCACTGCTAGTGTACGGGAACACTGTTAAGTCTTATATATTGGTTTTATATTTAGCAACTTTGCTGCTCTCTTTTATTAGGACTCATAATTTAGCTGACAATCATGATGGGTTTTCCATATAGTCGGTTATTTTTTTTCCTGCAAATAAGGACATTTATTTAAATCTGTTTTTTAAAATTTATTTTTGTAATAGGGCATTGAATAGGAGTTCTAGTTCACTGTTGAGGGTACCATGCTTGTCCCAATCCTGATGTTAGTGGATATCTTCTCAGTTCCCACTCATAAGTATGATGCTGTTTGCTACAGATTTTGATGAGTACCATTTATCAGGTTGAGGAAATTCCCTTCTATTCCTATTTGGCTAAGAGTTTTCATTTTAATTTTTTTAAAAATAGAAAATGAGAGTGGAATTTTATTGAATGCTTTTTCCAGCAACTACTTAGATGATCATAGATTTTTCTCTTTTTCTTTGTAACATGGTGAATTTTATTAATGGATTTTTCCATGTTGACCCATTCTTTCATTCCTGGGATAAACCCTACTTTTACTATTATCAGTTGAGATTAAGTTTGGCTGTGAGTAATAGGGCCTCAATAGTGTCTTAATGTTTTTCCCCGATATAAAAGAAAAAAAGAAACCCAGCCTGGCCAGTGTTGCTCAGTGGTTGAGTGTTGACCGATGAACCAGACAGTCAAGGTTCGACTTCCCGTTAGGGCACGTGCCTGGGTTTTGGGCTCGATCCCCAGTGTGGGATGTGCAGGAGGCAGACGATTAATGATTCTCCCTCATCATTGATGTTTCTTTCTCTCTCTTCCTCTCCCTTCCTCTCTGAAATCAATAAAAAAATATATATATATTTAAAAGCCTGGATATAGAAGTGAAGTGGCCGACCTGAGGCTTCTTTTATCTTGCTGCATTTCCATCCTTTGTGTATCAGCTCATATCCAAGGAGCAGGTCAAGCTCTAGCCAGTCTGTTTGCATTATGAGCAGTAGGAGGGAAGGAGAAGGAGTGCAATCTTTCCTTTTTAATAAGGCTTTCTGACAGTTACACACAACACTTTCACCGACATCACATTGAAACCTCATCACCTGGTGGTATCTAGCTGCAAGGGAGGCTGTGGAATAGACAAAGAGAAGAATGGATATATTGAACTCTAGCAGTTTTGGTCACAGACTTGCTGGATTATTTTTATACTAGAGGCCCGATGCATGAAATTCGTGCAAGAGTAGGTCTTCCTTCCCCCGGCTGCCAGCAGCAGCTTCCCTCTAGCACCTGGGACCGAGCTTCCCTCACAGCCCCGGCTTCGTCAGGAAGGGCGGAAGGACCTCCAGTCTAATTAGCATATTATGCTTTTGTTATTATAGATGCCTTGTTGGATTTTTGAATAGCTGTTACTTTATTTAAGATTTTTATATCTGTGTTCATAGGTGATATTGGCCTATTATTTTGCTTTTATTGTTGTTAGTTCAGGTATTAAACTTATGCTAGATTCCTAAAATGAGTTTGACAGCACTCTCTGTGTTTTGTTCTTTGAAACAATTTGTGTAAAGTAGGAATTATCTATTCCTTAAAGGTTTGGTAAAGGTTGCCCATAAAACTACCTCAGCCTGATGCCTTTGGGGAATAGGATAAACTTTTTTTTTTAAAAAAATGTTTTATTGATTTCAGAGAGAGGAAGGGTGAGAGAGATAGAAACGTTCATTGGCTGCCTCCTGCTAGGGATTGATCCCATAAACCAGGCATGGGTCCTGACCAGGAATTAAACCGGCAACCTCCTGGTGCATGAGATGATGCTCAACTAACCCAGCCACACAGGCCAGGCAAGAGAAACTTTTTGAACTACAGCTTCAGTTTCTTTAGTGGCTATTGAACTGTTCTGGTTTCATTTTCCTTCTCCAGTTAATTTTGGTGAGTGATATTTTTCTAAAAAATGGACCAATTTACAAAAATTGACAATTTTCAAAATTTTTGGCACAAATATTCTGTTATAGTATTACAATTTTATAAACTTTTACTGTATCTAAAGGTTATGCCTCTTTTCATCCCTTCCTCCCTTTCTTGATCAATCTTGTCTGAAGTTTGTATATTTTATCATTTAAATATTTTTATTAAGTTATATTTTATTAGTCTTTAAAAAACTAGCTTTTGGTCTCAGTGAGCATCTCTATTGTTTGTTTCTATTTTATCATTAATATTTCCTGCCATCTACTACTTCAGTATTATTATATTCTTTCTTCTGCCATCTTTGTCTTTTTTTCAGCCTCTTGAACATTATTTTCTAACATGTGCTTTTAAAGCTATACACATTCCCTTATAACTGACTGGTATAGCTGCCACTCATAAGTTTTGAGATGCACTGTTTTCATTGTTCAATTTGAAATGGTTTGTAGCTTTCATCATAATTTCCTTCTTAACTTGTGAATTATTTAGACATTTTTTTTTTAGTTTTTAACTGTACTTTTTGGGGAGAAGGCCTACCTTTTTACTGTTGATTTCTAAATTTGCTACATTGTGGTCATAGTATGCCTTCTGTATGATATTTATTCCGTAGAGTTTGGTGAGGCTTCCTCCCTCATAGGCACATATAAGTACATATGATCATACATGTGAACATTTTCCAAATGTTTATCCTCAAATTTTTTTGGTTTCATCTTCAATTTTTTTTTTTTTTGGTTTGA